AGCGGCATTTGGCTCGGCTGTTCTGCTAGGTCCCTCAGAGGGACCGAGCAGAACAGAAAAAGAGTTAAAAAAGGTAAACAAAGTAAAACGATTGTGTGGAGCTAGCAGTGACAGCTAGCTCCGCCCAATAGTTTCCTATTGTCCGGCGGCTCTGCTGCTGTAAAAAAAAAAGTAAAAAAAAAAGAAAAAAAATCTCCCGGGCGCAATGTGAAAAAAACGCCTGTTTTGCACATTGGTGTGGTGTGGAACCATTTATTCTTCCAGCCCAGAGCACCTTAATAGCAGACATGTGCTGGAGCTCACCACCATGCACTGTAATGCACTACTGCGTGCTGCGTTACATAAAATATTACACGCATGTTTTTTGGTGCAATTTGATGTGGCAGACAGCCTATTCAAATTAATGAACTGCCTTAATGCAATGCACATTATTGTGTAGAAAAACACACATCAGCGAACATGTGTTACCACAGCACAACAGTGTGAGCCTAACCTAAAATTTGAGCTTTGTTTTACTGTAGCTCACTTTTTTAAAAATGTAACAGCACTGCAGCCCACCAACATAATTTAGTGTGTGGATCTACTCAGTGATATTCGTATTCTCAGTATGTAGTTACCGGGGTTTTACATTTTTTTTATGGATAATTACTACAGAATAATGCTTTATTTGTCAGAACATGCTACCATATAATGTGTTTGACTGTGACAACAGGAGCAATATAAAGCTTGGCTAAGCCATGTAAGTCATGTGTTAGGTATGATTTAAGCTGGCTAGAGATGGAACAAATTCCTGTTGAATTGACTGACATGCAATATGTGGTTGTCCTGACGGCTACCCCTGGATCGACAAAAACTGTGGATGTCCTGACGGCTACACTTGGATCGACAAAAGTTAAGTTTTTAATGTACTTTTGTTGAAGGAGTCGAGTGGAAAATTGTCAGCTGAACAGTGCCTGCAGCCAATAAGCAACAGTAATTGTTTGAGTATTCTGATGGCTGCGGACACCAGCTGTTAGAATACAATAGCTGGTAGAGGAAATTCTTCCATCCACACTGTTAGTGTAGGCTGAAAGAGAGAAATCTGACAATATAACCAGGTTTAGTCATGTGCTCTTGTTAAGTTGGCCAAACACATTTTAATGTGTTTCTTCAATCTACCAACAACTATTTAATATGTGGG